CCTGCCGGTGGCAAGTGGCGGACTACCCCCCGTCCCTCTCGGCACACCACAACATAACCCCACCCCAGGGACCCGACGCTTTGTGCGTGGGGACGTCGGGGGCGGGGCGGGGGGCAGTACCAACCAGAGGCCAGGAAGAAGCAGGAGGCGGGTTTGAGCAGGAACTCCACCCCTTTGCTGAGCGCCATGGTGATGCACAGGGACCCCAGCACCATCAGGGTGATGCTCAGAGTGGAGACCACGGCGGCCGTGATGTTCAGCTCTGGGGATGGAGACAGAGCGTTACCCCCCTTCTGGGAGCACAGTGCCTGGGCACCCCCCAGAAACCTTGGCTGGATGGGCCCACGGGACTGATCTTGGGCAAAGCGGAGGCAGGACGCCAGGGCAGATGGGCCCGCAGGGCAGGGAGCAGGCAGGACAGGGGGGTAGATGGGCCAATGGGGCTGGTCTGGAGCAGGAGGGGATGGGACATTGGGGTAGGACATTTTCAGCTTGGAAAAGAGGAGACTAAGGGGGGATAGGACAGAGGTCTATACAATCATGAGTGGTGTGGAGAAAATGAATACGGAAAATTTATTTACTTGTTCCCATAATATAAGAACGAGGGGCCATCAAATGAAACTAATGGGCAGCAGGTTTAAAACAAATAAAAGGAAGTTCTTCTTCCCACAGCGAATAGTCAATCTGTGGAACTCCTTGCCTGAGGAGGCTGTGAAGGCTAGGACTAGAACAGGGTTTAAAAGAGAACTAGATAATTAGCCAGTATGGGTAAGGAATGGTGTCCCTAGCCTCTGTTTGTCAGAGGGCAGAGATGGGTGGCAGGAGCGAGATCGCTTGATCATTACCTGTTCGATTCACTCCCTCTAGGACACCTGGCACTGGCCACTGTGGGCAGACGGGGTATTGGTCTGGATGGACCTTTGGTCTGAACCCGTATGGCCATTCTTATGTTCTTAGCTAGGGCAGGAAGCAGGCGGGACACTGGGGTAGATGGGCCCATGGGGCTTGTCTAGGGCAGGAAGCAGGCGGGACACTGGGGTAGATGGGCCCATGGGGCTTGTCTAGGGCAGGAAGCAGGCGGGACACTGGGGTAGATGGGCCCATGGGGCTTGTCTAGGGCAGGAAGCAGGCGGGACACTGGGGTAGATGGGCCCATTGGGCCTGTCTAGGGCAGGAAGCAGGCGGGATGCCAGGGTTGATGGGCCTGTGGCTCTGATGGGGGGAGGGGAATTCCTGACCTTTTTTTGTCGTTCTCTGGAATATGTGGGCGTTCTCCCCGGTGCTGAAGAATCTGAAGTAGGAGCAGTTGGCTTCTGGGAAGGGAGAAAGCAAGGGCGGGGGTGAAGGGGGAGCAGGAGGAGCCGGGGTGGGGCGGCATGAAGGGCCGAGGAATCAGGATGTGGGGTGGGAACACCAGGCAGCCAGGCTGAGCATGGGGAGAAGGGGTCAGGGAGGGTGAGTTAGCA